TGTTATTTTTCAGTAATTAATTTCTGTAGGGATTCAGTACATTTGACCGATCTTGCAACCACTCAAAAAATTAGGAAATAAATATAAATTACACCTCTTTCATTTGAGAATGACAACAGATTATAACATGAAAACATAAATGTTTAAACTAAATAGCTTAAATCTCATAACATTATTTTTATTATATTGACCTTTCATATATTGCTGGGTAACAAAAACAAAAGTTACAATGATGCGGCACACGTGCACTCATGTTACCGTATCAAATAACATAAAACTGACCTATGGTCAGTACAAAGTAACTTGTATTGGCTGTGTTTTAGTAGACTAGCATTTTGTAAAATAGTTACATTTCAGTTATTATACATTATATATGTATATAGATTATTGCTATTTTGAAATAAGTTCTTGAACTTATTCTTCTTAAAGTATAGAACAGTAAATAAAGAAATAAAGCAAACAATTATCTCTTCTAGTTACAACCTTTGTACTCGGTTGCTACTTGTCATGGGTTACTAAGCCTTTAAAAATTTTGCACGTGGAGGATATGAAACAAAATTTTTTTTTTAGTCTTTATTATATATATATATATTTTAATTAACTAAGAAATACATAAATTACTAATTTAATACCATAGAATTCTACTATATATTATCAAGCTTAGTAACTAAGCTGTATTTTAGTGTAAAAAGATATGAAATTTTGAGCAGACTAAAGACACACCCTACCTCCTTGAAATCTTGGTTTGAAAGAAAGAGGTGGCATCCTAACACATGAAAATGGCTGAGAAAGTGTATATAAGGGAGCATTTCCAAAAATGGAAAGAGATGCGCAGGGTGCCACTGTGTTTGATTTATTACATGAGCAATATCTTAGCAAATACAAAAGATAAGAGGTTCTTATTTTATACTCTAGCTTGTCAATATTGGTAATTTGAGTTCCTAATTCGTACAGAATTATAGACAGTATTTTGACATCACGAACATGTAATTTGAACCAGTGCTGCTATCAACATACCACATGACACACAAAATTCGAAGTTTAACTATTTTTTTAATATTTACTTTTAAAATAAGAAATTGAGTAATGTATAATACTAAAATTTGAATTATAATCTAGAGTTTGATACCAAACTTATTCACATAAATTCATGAAATAGTAGTTCAATAAGATTTTGAATGTGATTCAACAAAAGTGATGACATGGGCTTTCACCCGTGACCCATCTGGAAAGGATTAAGAAAAAATATTTTGTCTTTATTCAGTTTGTTTATTCAAGTATTTTATTTTTAATATTGCTCAAAATCATTACAATAAACCAATAGACAGCAAAGTTAACAAAGGTGTTATGAAGTACTTTAAAACTTAAATTCGATATTACTATATAATTTATTAAGCCATTTTCCGTCCCTATAAACTAAAGATTTCAATTGTCAAGTTGAATCTACAATGATTTAGGGCTATTAATAGTATGAAACCACTTGTAATTATATATCCAGGGAGCCACAGGGGTTGAGCAGATATGGTCTGCTGTAAAAGGTTGTGAATGTTATTTAATTTGTACTACTACCCAAGAGTACTTTCGAGGTGCACAACCTAGCATATCAGCTACTGTAGCTTTTTTACAGCATGGTCTGTGATGGTAGGGTTTACCACTCGGACACCCTACTTTTGACCTATACAAGTGACATACGTGAGAATGTAAAATTGTTACAGATGTATTTATTAACCTTAAAATTTAACAGGAACTATATTCTTACATCTTTTGTTTTAGTCAAAAGACCTTCACTAGATTGACATCATGCAATATGTTTAGTAAAATTTTATTGGAAAATTCGTTTAACACAATGATATTATATAAATTCAAAATCTTAGTTACAATACGTAGGGGAACTATCCCAGATAAGGCTGATTATTACATGACACTGGGAGAACATCTTTATTTAACAGCAAAATATATTTAATCTAACACTGAAAATGATAAGGCTGGAAATACTAAGTTGAAACGTAATAAACTCAAAGATATATAAGTAAATTCAGTCCAACAGGATAGTACCTACTACATGAGGATGAATACCATATATAGTATTCCCAGCTACAGCGTTTTATAACCTATCCTTAGCAAAAAAATCTGGATAAATTTACACATAAATCTCAAAAGTAAACACACATAATCATAAGCACATAATGTCAAACATGAATATATAAAACACAATAAAGTTCAGAGATCAGTTATCATTTACATCAGATTTAGAATCATTACTTTCATCAAACTCTACCAAGTATTGTGCATGGGAACATTTGACAACTGATCCATAACACTTGCACCCTAGCCAACATGGTACTGGCATGGCAGCAGTTACTACTGCAACCCTTTTTGCAGCCACATGAGACTGACTTTGACATATCGTAGGGCCACAGTGGTGTGGTAACAGGCACTGGTACAAGCTGAACTTCATTTAGTTTATCCATGTTCAATGAGTGGGGGCTTTGCTATGTGTGCTGTTTTGTCAATAATTGTAGCCAGAGCAGATCTCTTTAGGTGTTACATGAAGGTCTCATCAGTATATGGCAGCAGCAGCATTAGTAACGTAGTCTTGTTGTTGAACAATTTATTGGCTCCGATGTCTGCTAGATTAGACCCAGCCATTTCCACATTCTTTGTGTACACAAAAATCAACAAGTCCCTTGCCTGATTGATAACCTCATCATTGAGAGATTTGTTATCAGTTTCTGCAAAATCTTCAAGGGCATCAATGTTGATCTTCTTGCTGGTAAAATATGGGTAGCTGGTAGTATCCCTTCCACTGAGACTGTGAGTGAAAGGTAGTGATCTTAGAGAACTTGCAGTTTCATGAATTTGCAAATTATTGTCAAGTTCAGTCCTTACCTGTAATTCCAGAAGATTCTTCAGGAGTGTAGCTGCATAATATATGCAAAGGACTATTACATCAGTATCATTAGCATGTAATATGACACGCTGAGCTGCTTCTTCCCGTACACTATATACAATATCAAGAATGATCTTGGTGTCTGCCTCCTCTTGAGTTGATTCTAACTCTACAACATAACCCCCTGTACGAAGTAAAGATTTGGTTTCATCTTCAAATCCTTCACCTAAATAGAGATGCGTAGAGATCAGAGCTGAACCTTCTTTTCATCTGTGCTTCACTTGTTACACAGATAGTCGAGCAAGTGATGGTAAAACATTATTGAAATTTTTCATAACATTTTTTCATGTGTTGAAAGGTCACTCATTTTGAGCCCAATACCCAACACAGTGCCTTGTTGGCAAAGTTGTGTACATAGATAAGTGTTTCTGGATAGCCAAAGATTACATTTATATGCCACAACCTGTTACAGCAGCCCATGTCTGTTTTCATGAAAAATGGGGGTTTGGCTTCCTGGGTAATATATCTGAATATATATAAGTAACATTTAACCTTATGAAGCATGACACCATTTAGGTGTTGAATGCACACGTACATGTCAAACTTCATAATTTAAATAACAGTTCTAGCTATTTATCAACAGTTTTTAAAAGTTAAATATTTTGTAATATGTATTTAGTGTAATTCACATAGAAAAAAAATGTTCCAACAGGAAAAAATATGTTCTAACTTCAGTCTGTAAGGTACTGCTGGAATATGTTGCTTGCACTTGGAAACAGTTGTTAACTTTCATTTGTGTACTGCTTGGAGGAGTCTTGCATATATACAACTTTTTAGAATGTCGCTGCCCACACAAAAGCATAGATTTATATTTTCTAAGAAACTATCATCCATTGAGAATATAATTATCCATGTTATTTTGTTTCTGTATTGTTTAAGATGGTTATTGATATATGATCGTTTGATGAAAGTTTCAAAGTTTTCACTCTTTGTTCATTTTAGGCATGATAAGTTTATCATAGTTTGAGATAAAGTGGTATTGGTAGTTGTTTGTACAGCTTTGGTTTTATATTTCAAATTAGGGGCACTTCCTTTTTTGATAACATCCATTCATCTGAGTTAATTAGTTTTAAGTGTTTGATGTTTGGCTTCTGGCTGTAGTTTCTTTTTTTTGATGATTTTAAATTCCAGAGTTGTTGGAAGGGCTGTTTTGTGCATGCTCCTTAACTCTGGTTGCTTAGGTTCTTGTTGTTCACCCAGTGTAGCCATGCCTACAACATGGATTCATGTATTGATAAACCACTAGTAACTTTTTTGAAAGAAGTATTTTGTCTTTGAAGAGGAAAAATTACATAATCGATTATTTGAATATCACTCTTAAGCTGACTTGGGGATAAGTTGATTACAGAATGTTCTTGATTTTTCTTTTTAGTTTGATACCGTGAGAACTAATGAAGGGTAACGCTAAAAAGAAAAATCAAGAAAATACTGCATCAGTTTATCCCAAAGTCAGCCTAAGAGTGATCTTCAGATTGAACAAACAAATATGTAATTGGCAAAGTGGTAAAACTTTAAAACCTTTCCCTGTTAGTGATTTTATCAATACAGAATCTGATTCCCACTGTTTTATTATGTTATCCCATGTTGCCTGAACAATTACTAATAGCATACAGCTTGTCAAATAGCTATAGGTAACATTTAAATGAGATCGTATAGAGAAGATTATAAACTGTTTACATGTATGTAGAGTAAATATAGTGGTGTGAGTAATTATTTAAGATATAGTAGGAAACTGAATACCCAGAAATCTTATACAGATGAATAATAATTTAATGGATAGTTTGGAAGACTAAGCGTTCTTTTTGATGTTAAATTATATTTTTTGAAAGCTACAGATATTTTATTCTCTTACAACACATTGGGAATTAAAGCTAAGATAGGTTTAGCAAGTAAAGTAGGCAATGGAAAAACATTCTGATGATTCAAATCATTATTTATTGAATGTTATTATTAAGTTTATTGTTTTAAACAATGCACATAAATAAAATATCTTGTTATCTGATAAAAATAAACTATAATTGTTAGATCTCAACCAAGAATATTAGCTGTAAAGATATTATTACCTAGGTTAATAAATGTAGTGGTAATGCCATTTTGATAAGTCATGGCTAGGTCACCAATAAAAGGGTTTTTCATGTTGTTTTTCTTTTCTTTTTTTTTTTGTTATTTGTAGCTAGTTAGAAGTGGTGACTGCAGCAATTGACAAAATAAATTATCAAAAGCAATAGATTAATGAATGTCAATAAAGTTGAAATTGTGTTTATATATGAAGTGGATCTTTCTGATAAACAGAAATTGTAAAATGAAAGAAAGTATTTTTAATGTTTTGTTTTCAAAACAGCATCTCAGAATAAAGTTTTAGAAACTTCACAACTTACAAAATAATAGAAAAACTAAATAGAATTATGTGAATTTCTTCAAAGCTGTACTTGATATTGTTATGTAAGTTTGTGGCAAGTTTTATGTAAAATGTTTAAGTATTTTCAATGTGGAAAGAAAAAAGAAATCAAAGGATATAAGTGTCCACAAATGTTTAACAAAAGTTTAATTTATGAGCTTCAATTCTGTGAATGATAAATTTTGTAGATGACAAATTATGTTGATGATATATCTATCTAGATGGACCGTAGTGTTTCATTCTGATGAAAAACCTGATGACAAACCAGGAATTGTGACAAATAGTTCTGGATCCACATCTGAGGATAACACTGCCATCTTTGTTATGAACAATTATTTTGGAATTGGAATTGATGCTGACTTGTGTCTTGACTTTCATAATGCCAGAGAGGAAAACCCTAACAAGTTTAACAGCAGGTAATAAAAAACTTTCATTACAGAATAAACTGTAGATTGTTTGATTCTGTTTTGATATTCCAGTTTTTGTTTAAACAAGTTGAGATCTTGAAAACTTGCACAGTTGTTAAACATTTATATATATATATATACTTTATCTAACTCACAATTAAATAATGTACACCCAGTGAAATAGTTATTTTGTTGATCATCTACCAAATTATTAACATCTTCATTGCTTTTGTATTTAGAAGTGAGAATTTTATCAGAGCTTTTATTATATTTGGTTGTGTGCATTTAAAAACTATTACATTTCTAATTCTTTTTTACATCATTGTTCCAGACTTCATAACAAAGGGGTTTATTTCAAAATGGGCCTTCGGAAGATGGTGGGCCGGAAGTTGTGGAGAGATTTTAACAAAGAAGTCCGTCTTGAAGTGGATGGTAAAGTTGTGGATCTTCCTCCTGTTGAAGGAATCATCATTCTTAATATTTTGAGGTAAGAATGAATTGTGCTGAAATTCATATGGTTCTAAATTTTCTAAAAGCACTCATTATCCAAGGGTTGTGAATTTATGGTGGGAGTTTTGATAAATTGTTACATTCACAAATACAGGTATTGAACAAAATCAAGTAGTTAATGGTTTATATCATTATTAACTTGACATACAACTTTGATATGAGTTTCAAAGAATTATTGTTTTTGAAATGCAGCAGTAAATTAGGTAAAATAGCCGATAGTGGGGAAAGGTACAATATGGTTGGAGTCACACACACTCATTTACTGTTTTGGAAGTGTACGTATAGATCATTTTAAGATTCTATCAAAATTTTAAGTTCAGAGTTTGTTGTTCAAGAACTGTGCAGGTTTAATAAGCTAAATTAAGCTGGTTTGTTTGATATTTCAATGTGATTGTCTTTTAGCTGGGGATCAGGAGCCAATCCCTGGGGTCCTGAAAGGGAAGACCAATTTTCTAAGCCTAATCACTATGATGGAATGTTGGAAGTAGTGGGAGTTACAGGAGTAGTCCATATGGGACAGATTCAGAGTGGACTCCGTAATGCCATTAGGATTGCCCAGGGAGGACATGTGAGTTGTCAGTTTTTGCATAGATTATTATTTAGGTTTCAAAAGTGTTTGAAATAGTAAGTTGTGTTAAAACAATAGAAATTTGATCTCTGTTTGGATAAACTGTATATTTTGATGAATCATAAATTGTGATGTGTTTGTTTATTTTAACGATGTTGAAAATAATTACCTTTAAAGCATGCTTTATACATTACCTATTTGCAATATCATAGCCTAACATGGCCGAATATAGCAGAAAAAAATAAATTAAAACTGCAAAAAAATTATTTTTAAAATAGGTTTCACTCTTAAAAACAGGATTTCTTTTTATGTAAAAAAAATCATAAATATCCATTATCAAAGTCTTCAGGTTTTGCATAATTAACAAGTTAGCTCAATTGTTGGATAAACATGTAAATTAAGGTACGAGAACTCTGTACACACTTTGTCTTTGATCATTAAGAACCTAAAAATTTGCTTCAAGAGAATATTCCAGTGAAAATGGCGTATTTGAGTAAAGTTTTAATCATGAATGCTTATCCAGTAAGCAGATCTGGTATATGCAGAGGTGAAATTTTAAAAAAACAAGTAGAGGTACTTAGTAGGATGAAGTGGACCTGTCTTTGAAAAATAAAAATAAAATTTGTGTGTAAACATAAAAAATGACAAAATAGCTCAAATAAGTCTTGGTACTAGCACCATCTTAAAAAATATGTTCCAGTACTCAGTACCGGTGAGCACCATCTGAATTTCACCCTTGAGTATATGCAAATGGAAGACTGATTATTAGTAGGGCTGATACGATACAATAGTAGTCAATATGATACGTATCTAGATACAGAATTTTACCAACGGTTTATTACAAAATTTGACAGTCTTGTCTGTAATTTATTATCTATATTATTAACATTGTCCTGCTGCAATTTGAAGTAATTCTAGAAAGAAAAAAAAGGATAATTTTGATTTGTTTTCTGTTTTTTATAGTGGTTACAAGGCTGGTCAAAGTGACTGACTTCACATAAAATTAGGATAGTGAATATAGCAAATAAAATATGAAGATTTATCAAAAAAAAGTTGGAAAGTTATTTTGGAGGTTTCAGAGATTATACGGAAGAAATGTTTTAATTTTTAGATGGAGAAAAGTATTTTTAGTCTTAACATAAAATCGTTTTACACTTGTAGCAGTGACTATTTTGACTCCATTAATTGCTTAGCAAAAATACTTTATTAGAAATTCTGATTTTTTCTGTATTAAAGATTTATAATGTTTACTGAAAACTTGTCAAATTTTGTGAAGAAACATAAATTGTATCATATCAGACGAGGTATTGATACGATCATTTCATGGCTTCACAATACGATACTCATACTGTATCTCTGTATTGCTTCACCCCTAGTTACTGTAGATTTTTGTTGATATCTACCATTTACTTACATGGAAAGCACACAGTATAATGTCTCTTAACCCTAGAATTACTCGTGTAATCCATTGGTTTTTTAAATATGTTTCAAAAATATTTACATATAAAATGACTTTTTTGGTTACGGGCTCCCACAAAAAATTTAAATAATAATGCTATCAATACTATTTTGATCCAACTAATTAAGGTGGGGTTTCTTCAGTATGTTACATAGAAAATAAATGATATCACTCAATTTTTTTGTTAATTCTTTACACTGTGTGTTGTAACAACTAAAAACACGTAGTAGTTCAAATGATATAATATGTGAACCTAAGGGGTAGTGAATGGTGTAAAAATAAGTCAGTCGTTTGAAAGTTAAAACACTTGAACAATAAGTCGTGTTAAATATAAAAAATTATGACTCACTTAATTATTTTTAATCTTATGGCTGGAAGGAAGAAGTAAAAACAGTAAATTATGTTGATTTGAAACTCACAAAATCTCTCAGACTTGTGAATTTAATTCATTCTGTTGTAAGCAAAACATAACTTACAGACCCATTAAATAATCTAAATTTACAGTACAGCAGTCAAACTGAAAATCATGCTTTCCAGGGTTATATTTAAACAAAAATTGAAAAGTCATTTCAAGAAAATGTAACTTTAACCAAAACTATAAAGAAAGAACATTAACATAGAAAGCTAGTTGTGCCAATGGGGCTTAGACATAAAGTAAACAGAAACATAAGGAGAGTCCAGCACGTATGTTACAACTCGTAGGTTAGACTATTAATAGCTTACCAGATGATAACAGTTAACTTCCAATAGGGTACATTATCTCATCTCACATTTATAGCTATTTTAGTTCAGTGTTGCCCTCTATATGCAAAAATTTGTTCACATGCCACAAGCCTTGAACTCACATGCACCCCATGATCAATGTGGTTAAACTGAGTCTTACATGTAAATCATCATGTGACAGTCCTCCACCAACAGGAGTGTGACACATCCTCCTGATGCATGTGACTCCCTTTATTCACTTCTACTGAATTATCACTTCTCATTATAAAATGACCAAGTTACAGATGTTTTTCAATTGTGCTTTTTTCACATGTTCATTTATTTTACTTTTTGTGAAGTAGTTATTTACTTGATTTATTCATTTATTTTTTTCTGTAGTAGTTTGCTGCGATACTTACCTTTGTTTATTTTTCTCATTTTTTACTTCTTCGTGGCTTAAGATACATTCCGAAGTTTGTGTTTTACAACTTCTGATATTATTACCGCTACTTTGAGTGCCATTACTGGCTTCAGTTCTGGTGGTCTCAACTTTTTTTCTTCTGACAATGTTTGGGTTCCTCCTGCATTGTCCAGATCTGTTCATGATGAGGAGGATTTTGACAGATTTTTTTTTTCTTCCTTCTAACTATGCCATTCCTTCCCATGCATGTCTCATGAGATCCACTATACCTAAGTCTGCCTTTTTAGATATGCTTTCTCAGGTGTGTTCCATTTTCATATGATACTGTTCCTTCCTTTTTACATGACACCCATCACTAGGGTTCCCTGTTTTCTCTCCTTCCCCTGACATCAGGGTTCATGCTGAGCATTTTGTTTTTCAGTTGAGGATTGGTGTTAGCATGCCTCATCCTCCATGAACTTCTGATCTTTATGCTTTGGCTGATCAACCCTTACTCGACTTCCAGCAGTTGGAGTCGTTTTTGCCAATGTGCCCTGATAATCCTATCCATTTTCCCACTTTTGTCAATGGGTATGAAAATTCAGTTTTGGTTCTTTAAATAATTCTTCCTTGAATGACAGACTGGTTTAAGACTGTATTTTTTGCATATAAATTTTTTCTATTTTGTTTTAGTTAATTTTTTTTCTGCGTCATGTATGTATTTTTTCCATTGTTAAAGTTCTGGTACCATTGCCAGTAGAAAGCGGCTAATGAAAAGCTGTGTTTTTAGCTCCGAATTCGACTCAACACTGAAATGCCTGTACAAGTTGATGGAGAACCTTGGATTCAGAGTACTGGGGAAGTTGTGGTCCTACGTTCTGCTCTCAAGGTAATAAAATCTTTGGTACATTTTCTTTTACCAAACATTTCAGTTAACTGAGGTACTTTAAGAAGCATAGTTTGTATTATGATGCATATTCAGATGACATTTTGAATTTGATTCACTGATTTGTTAAAATAATTACCAAAACTCTTGAAAAATCTTGTATTTAGAATTGAGTTCTTGAGATTCACAATTTTGTTTTTTTCTGAATTTTCAGAAGTTTAGCATAAAAGAGGAGAGAAATGCATTGTAATAAATAAAGCTGATTTTTTATTGTTTTAATTATGTATCATTTGTCTAAAATACCTAGTTTTTGTTCTATATTTTTATGTTTTAGAATATTTTGTTGGTAATAAAAGAATTGCATTTTAACAGTATGACTTTTAATCCATTGTGATTTATTACATTAAAGGATATTCTTTTAACTTTATGAATGTAAAGGAAGCTTCCTTTAAAATTTGAAATGCATATTATTTAAAGAACTTACTTAATAAAAGGTAACATTTTTATAAGCCATTCACTTATGCTTAAGTTATTTTAATTACTTTATACAGTGTGGGTGGAAGGATTCTATAACTTGTACAATTTCACAATAATGAGTACACCTACAACAGAAATAAGAGGTGTACAATTTAGACTTTTACATTTGACCATAAAAGTGTTGTTCTGCATGTTAGAAAAGGTAATAAAACATACCGAAACAGAGAGAAAGAATAAAATAAGAACATTTGAAATTATGAGAAAATGTTTAAGATTACAGAGATGATACTCATCTACAAAAGGCCTTGTTTCTGATTCAATTGATGCTTATAGTATGTGATGGTTAAATAGAGTAACCAACTTTGAGCCCACAACATTAGTCTGCTCCTTTGACAAAATTTAAATTGAAACAAACAAAATTCTCTATGTAGGCTACCATGCTCAGGAAAAGTAAAATGAAACACAGAAATACAGAATCAGCTCTTGCCTCGTCCAGTGCAGAACGGTCTTATGAAGATTGACCTGTTTAATTAGAATGAAACCTAGCTAGGTGTAGTGATTCCTGTGGCTCTGTAGTCATTGACGTGAACACAGGAAGCTTCATTCATGCAAGTCATGTTTCTCTCAGTGTCGAAGACTTCGACAAATAGAGTGTGAGGTCTGTCTCACTCAACAAGTGTGCTGTAGAGGTTTGATTTCTGGCCTCATGAAGAAACATTGTCATGATCTAGTATCTTGGGGTTTTCAATTTCTAGTCAGTATGAAATTAAATTTTGAGTCTCATTGTTATTTCTTGTTTTAAAACTTAATACACATGTTGTAATGTTAAAAATATCTCATTAATCTACAAAACTGGTATTTATGGGAAGGTGTTGCATGTGCATTCAACAAAGTCTGTAACTTTTTTCTAGCTGTTTTAAAATATTAAGCTTTTTGTTACATTTTATTCATGTTTTTTTTGTTAATCAAAATATAGTTTTAAAACTTCCAAACAAGAAATGGAAAGTTTTCTCTTTTTTCTTTTTCTTTTTTCTTTTTTTTTTTGTAGGTATGTAATTTCAAATGTCTGTTTTGCTTAACTCTTTCTGGTATCTTTTGTTCTCTTTTTTGTTGTTCTTTCAAAAACTTTTTCTGGCCATATGAAAGAGGTCAGTTTTTAATATATTAAGTAAAATATATAAAGTTTACATTCCTACGTAAACAATTATTGTTTTCAATAATTTAACAAAAACTTTAATTTTTGTTACACGTGCTATAATATGATAGTCACTTACAATTTTAAGAAAGAAGTTCTACATTGATTTTTCAGGCATGTTTCCAGTCTAGTCAAACAGCCTTCACTTTTGGTTATTCACAGCTTACGTATTGCTATCAAAATTGTAGAATGACTGGAAGATATTGAATTTAGTCTCTAGTCATTTAAAACCACTCAGTCATGTTATCTTGTGGGTGTTTCACCAAAGCTGTTATTTTAGCATTAAACCTATAGAATGGTAGATTTTATGTATCATTGCCAACTATTGTCAGATATATAAAACATTTTTAAAGCTTGTGTATCATTTGTTCTAGAAATTACAATATTATAATATTTATTTAAAAGTTTTTTCTTTGTACCAAATTCTTTTGTGCTTTTCATATTTTAGTTGCAAACACAATTTACTCATTTTTAAGCCAGAAAAGTTTAAAATTATATGAATAACTTTTAGCTTACAAGATGTTGAGTATAGGTCCCTTTTGTTACAATGAATCAAGTTTGACAGCCTGTAGTTCTATTTTTGAAACACAGTTATATAAAATTTATCGAGGAATATTATATATCTGTGCAGATGTTTGAAACTAGCACCATCTGTTGGTATTGGTAAATTAATTTTTAAAAGCTAGACCTACCATTTTTATCAGTTAATTAGTGGGTTAGAAAGCATCATGTTTTGTTATTGTTTTTATTCCGATATTACAAAAAGAAATAAAACTTCCTAAGATTGTGCTAGCTGGAAGTAAAAGTCTTGCATATACTTGGATTAAACAGATATTTTTGTTTTTTTTTCACATCAGTTTTTTTGTTGTGTTTCAGTTTACAGTTTTAACAACAAATTATTGCTTTTTTTTGTTATAATATTGAATTTAATATATTTATGATGTGATTTCTTTAGAGTTATTATGGTAACAAAACAACTAATATTATGTTTGAGGTATTGCTAGTTGAGTCAATTTTTTTACCATTGTTCAAATACTTGCAGTTTCAACTTGATATAATTTCATATTCTTCATTGAGATCTTCAGGTAACTTCAAAATGTTTTTAGAATCAAAATATTTCAAATTGGAACCATGAATTTGGCCAACATGATAATCAAAATCAAATCAAACTTGAAAAATGTCTTTTTTTTTCACACTATATCCACATGATGTCACAAAATGAATAACTGGTATCATGTATTATTTTCATCCAGATGATTTACACACATCATTTATTCACTTCTTTTTAATGTATTTTGCTCATTTAGTCGTACTATTTTAGCCATACATTTTGCTCTGTTTGCCTTACTCTCTTAATACAAAAATATTACAAGAAAAATATAAAGTTTTCTCTGATCTTAAGTACTTGTGAATAAAGATAAGCACCGCCTAACTTTTTTTTTGGTTGTTTTTTAAGCATTCAAGTTTTTCTTAGCTGACTGTGCCAATGTTGTTGATCATTCCATAGTGGCAACATTTCTTAATAATTAAGTAAAGATGAATGAATTACATGATATGCATGTACTAGGTGAAAACCAATACATGAGAGAATTACTGACCTGTGTATTAAGCCAAGAAGGTGTAAATTGAAAATTAGTTGCAGAACAGTAAGTGAATTTTTCAGTAACATTTCAAAACTGGAAATGCATAAAGGTAAAAAATTACTAATTATTATTGAACGAACTTTACTTACGTATCCAGGTTTTAGTTTGAATTTGAAACTGAATTACCAAAGTAGGCAGAACATCTAAGTATATCTGTGCATAGTCATCTGATACTCTCTGTTTCCAATCTACCTTTGAAGTTTTTACTTACATGTTTAGTAGAGTTAGAGGTTTTCTCTATTTAGACCAATTTTCCATGTCTTGGTACAAGAACTACTACCTTCTTATCAAACAACAAATTTTTTTGAATATAAAATAACAGGCCAATGAGGTTGGTGATCAAATGGATTTTACAAGCTCAGGTGGTCAGTAATACCTAAATGTTTGTTACATTTAATTCTCTTTTATGATTTGCATTAGACTATTATTATTATTCTGAATAAAAGAAAAATTCTAAATTTCTCTTTTGTATTACATGTTATTTATAGTGTTTATAAATGTTTTACAGTCTCAGTTTGCATTTTCCTGTACTGATGCAGCTTGGTTTTTGGTTTTATTCATTTGCTGAATAGCCCCTCCTCTCCAGCTTTATCTTTCTCTGTATGCCGCTGTTTTTCCTATCTATGTTTTCTTGCTCTCCATTCCCATAGGCCACCATGCTCAAGAAGGCAAAAAGTAAAATCAAGAGGTGGAACACGGAGCCAAGCATGCTTATGTACGAAGCAGAACCAGGAGCATCTGCCTCCATCATAGTGAGCCAAACTGAAGGCCCTTTCTAACTGCAAATTATTAATTTTTATCTTTGTGTGTGCTATAATGTCATGTATGCCAAATTGTAGGTTTTTCTAGCTCCATACACTTAACCCTTGCACTTGTCTTTATGTTCTCTGTTGTTGCTTTAAGCCGTAAAAGCCCTAAATACTACTTACTACAGTATATTTCTCATTCCATTCTCATAAGCTTTTACAGCCTTATCTATATCTTGAATTCCATTGTTTAAAGCATGTTTCCTCTAATACCTGATTGTTTGTTTTTTATTGCTATAATTTTGTTAAAGAGTACATTGGTCACTTTCTGTTCTAACTGTCACTCTTGAAAGCTAGAAACATATTAACTGTGATGTAGGTAAAAAAAGTGGATTTTTGTTTTCTTTAGATATGAATATTTTGTGTATGCAATGTATATTTTATCTGCTATTTATGAATGCAAAAAAACCACTTCTTGGCTTGTATTTACATAACTTTAATAAGTTATGATGGAAAAGTTTGAGTTAAATTGAAATATGAATATAAGAATACACACTATATTTTAAAGAAACATTTGTTTAAGTATTAATATCATAATGTGTTACAACTGTTTTACTTAGCACAACAAGAATAAATTGTATATGTAATTGAAACTAAATTTGGAAGTATGATCAGGAATTCAAATGATCTCATCCTATACATTCACCTAATTTGAACTTATGTTTAAAAGCTATTAGAATTAATGAAAGTGTGAATACAAAAATATATGGTATATTTTAAAGGAGAATTTATTTGAGTGTTGATGCATTATAAATGTTTCATTTAATGAAATGTAGAATTGATTATTTATATATATAATTTGAAACTAAGATTGAAATCATGTTCAGGAATTATATCAAATTATCTCACATTCTCTATATTCAGCTAACTGTGACTTTATTTTCAAAACTAAATATATGAGAAATTCTGGGCTAGTCTATTTTGTTTGAAACCTTTTTATAGGCAGAGTTGGCTTGTGTTAATTTTGTCTGCAATATTTTAAAGAAAGATTTGTCTGGTCATTATCTCTGTTTGAGAAGATTTGTATGTCATTACTAGTGTTTCAAAGTTATTGAAAAGTCCTAATCTGTGACTACTTTTGTTTGATACTATTTTTTTTCAAAGACAAACGTAGTAAGTCAAGTCATTAAATTTAGTTAAAACTTATCTAAAGGGAGACTTGTCTATATATAGTAGCTGATATTGCTTAAAGCTTATTTAAAAAAAAAAGGATCTAGTCACTAGTGTTTACAAAAATATTTAATGAAATAGTTAGTTTCATTTGTGATTGAAACCTATATAAAAGTAGTTTTTGGCTAATCACCACTATTGTTTCTAAGCTATTTCAAAGGAGTTCTGGTAAGTCGATACTTCTGTTTGATGCCTTCTTGATAACAACTTCTGTCACAATTACAGTCCTGATTCTTTTCATAAAGATTGTGAAAAGCTTTCTTTATCATTTTATGCATTTTGAAAATGGATGTTGCAGTGTGATAAGAAAATTAATATTTTTTGTGGGAAAAGATCAAGTTAAAAATTGTTAGGCTTAGTATCTAGTTTTGTTTTGCTGACAAGGCCATTCTTTGCTAGGTTGTGTTTACCTTAGGCCTTATTGGCCTAAGTAACTGTTTGAATGGCTGAAGAAAGTTGCTGAAAAGAAATAGATATACATGCATACATAAATGTAAAACATATTTAAAACTTATTCAGTATACTAAATGAAACCTTATAAAAAGAAGGTATTTTTATTATATGTCAGTAATCATAAAAAGAGTGAAACTGCATGTAGTATTTTTCAAATAAAGATAAAATTTACAATTTTATTAAATAAAAACAATTTCAGAGTTTTACAAAAAGTAGGTAGACATACGATTCAGTAATTGAAATTTACAACAAAGGTAAGCCTTTTTAAATGTTTCTTAAAAACATTTTACAAAGAAATCTTTTCAAATTTCCAAAGCTGAGAATTCATATAAATACCACATATATAAAAGTAAGATTATTTTATTTTACAGAAACTACTTGATCTGTAGAAATTTTCATCTCAAGTTTCAAAAAAAGTCATCAAACAGTTACTTTTTTCTTTTAAATACAATAAAACAATTTATATGACAGATGCACTGAACTGATGCACCAGGGTAGTTTAGAATTGAAGGAAGTTTGATAAGTTAGTACTTTTGTTTGAAACCTTCTTATGGGAAATTTGGATATTCTTTCTTCTTGTGTTTGAAAGCAAAGAATGATTTTGATGCTCAATATATTTATTTAAAAGGAAGATTTGGCCATTTACTTTTCCTATTTAAATATTTTCTATCCAGAAGTGTTTTACTAATTATTATTAGTGTTCACAAGATTGATTGCAAAGAAGTTTTGGCTTTTTGTTTTAGACGATCCAAATGGAAATCTTGCTATATTGAAATCTGCATAAGGTGAGTGGTTTATTTTAGCTCAAAAGAAAGGATTGCTTTGTTTTACCTTTAAACTTCCTAAAGCAAGAGCTGTTTGTATGTGATCCTTTTATAAATGGGTGGGTGTCTGGCTATTTACTTTATATAACTTAAAGAAAAAGAAGTCCTTACTAATTCTTCTTTCTACTTGAAACTATTGGAGAAATTATTGACAAAAGAGAAGAGCTTATATAACTAAAACATGGATGTTACTTGTGGTGTTAAGGTGGCCTTCGTGTTCTGGAGTTTGTTTTTATACAGATAAACAAGAAGTTTTTGTTATGCTTGTAGATCAGCTGTCATTTGTCAAAGGTGTAACAAATGAAACTTTACCTGTGAGCTGAATGGAAAAATATAACTTCTAGGTCTTTCTTGAATCTGTTGGATAAATTAGTTTTAAAGCTACACAATGAAATATGTTTGGAGAATGTAGTAGTAAAATATATCATCTGCATTTATGGTACAAAACAATTAAGATTTTATATTAACTTGGAAGAATCTAAGTTTTTTTATGCTTTTTTTAATGTATGTGGTATTATTAGTTTTAGCAGTATGAAACCTGTTTGTATGCTTATATGTTAACATATACAGTTGGGTAATACCATAGTTCTAGTATAGTATGATTAGTTACAATCACTCTGGTAAAAACAACAAATATACATCACTGAAGTGTTTAAATAATGTACAAAACTTTTCTAAATGGAAATGGTGATATTATTGCTTGAAACAGAATTGAATTTTTTAATTACACAATTTTTTATTTAAGGGGGATATATTTTATAAATATTTTACTAAGTTTTTTTTGGACACTAGCAACTTGTTTTTCCTTTTGTTTATACTCTTATATCTGTTGTTTCTTTTATCTTTTTTTGGTAATTTTACATTGGAAATAAGAGAGTACAAACAATTACTTCCCTATTCAACTTGATCTGATTGTTTACTCTTCATTCTTTACAATATATATATATATATATATATATATATATGATAATTTAATCATAATAGAATGTTAGAACTGTACTATTGATAAAACTAACATATTTCAACACAAATTTCATCATTTGCAATGCACTTTAGAATTTATTTTTCCATTTTCTTGGTATGTCTTGAATTTGTATTGTATATTGCTGGTACCTTTTAAATAGGTACATTATTATTTACCATCCTGTATTAGAAAATTATTGCCCAGGATTGGAACTTGTCTTTTTTTTTTTTTCTTTACGATTATAAAGAATGCTTGCTCACACAGTTTAAACCTATACTTTATTTAGCTACAGTGTTATGAAATAATATTATACATTCTGTAGAATCATATTAAATGTACTGTCTATAACAGGTTGAGTTATTTTACATCATCATGAAACAAAATCTTCCACATAGCAAGATCAGTCTAAATGTACAAAATGCTATTATAATAAAACAGAAAACCCATAACACATTTGATCATTCACACTGTTAAGTTTTTTGAAAATCACAAACCTTATGCAAATTGGATCTGTAAAATTTCGGTTATCTCATTTATATTTTTCATCATGTTTTAACTGTGAAACTAATTAATGTAATGAAAATCATAATGTAATATCAACATCTCAGCACTGTATTATTATATATAAATGATATTTATAAGTAACATGGAGAAATTGTCGAATATTATATTTTTAGTAATATATTAATTAAATAATATACTTTAAGCTAGCGTTTGGGCTTCAGCTAATTATGGGATTCAATTACATTATTTAGAATTAAGAGGAATATAAGAAATCTTCAATAGATAAAATATTTTTATACCATGGGTTAGAATGTTCACATGGATTATATTTAAATTATTTTTTTTGCTGCTTATATTTGACATTAATCTTCACCTACTTGGTTCACTTTATGAGGAGCTTTGTTTTTGCAATTTTAATATCTGCCTATGGAGCTGTACAAATCTGGTTATATTAGTATTGTTTTACTTCTGTAGGATGAAATACCAATCTTAGATGAATTTTCAGTAAGTTATGGTCATGAATTGATAATGAGCAATCATAGCCATCTAGAAAATTATTGAAAAGGCTCAATTGGTTCCAAACAATGACTTATTTCATCAGGAGCTGCAAATTATGAAGTGACTTAAGGCACTTAATTCCTTTGTATTAATTTTTAGATTGATTTCAATCTAAGAAATTTTTAAAATTCTTGAGAAAAGTTGTTATTGTAGAAAAGATTTCACCTAACAAATGGTGCTAGTGATGATGAAAAAGAATTTTATATTCTTGAATGCCATTGCTAATTTCATTCACTGTAGTTGGATACGAGTTTAAAATATGATATACAAGAATTTTATGTGCATTCTATATATTCTTAGGAAATTGGAATTACATTCATGTAGATTTTTTTTATGCATTTATTTAACTGTTATTTTGAGGTTTTACTAATTTCACTGTGTGAAACCAAATGACCAAAAATTTGTGTTTAGTGCTGTTGGTTGATTAAGAAAGATATAATTTGTGAATATATGGTGGTGTTATTGTACAAGTTCAGCCTTTTTTAGTGCATAAAATTTTTAAATAGTCCTGAATGACTATAAGTATAGACACACAACACATACACTTGAGTTCAAACCATTAAAATCTTTTTAAATTAAAACCTGAAACAGATTTACACAATTACTGTGTTAGTCACAAGGAGTACAAAACGAATAAGCACTTTTAATGCTTATTTTATAAGTTCAAAGGTTTGTGCCAATGGTGTACATTAATTGAATATATTTTATCTGTATTGTTCTTCCAAAGAGAGGATTTATTTCTATATTTTTTTCCTTATAATTATTTGTTGTAGTTTAAAATATTTGGCCCTCGTTGCCTTATTAGTCTTGAAATTATAAACTATTTAACCCTTTTGTGACTGAATTTAAAAAACAGTGTGGTCCAAATCAGAATTTAAACAACAAATGCATAAAGATTTGCAATTTACTCTTAATGTTAAGCATCTTAGGCCTATACTTTGTCAAACAACAAAATACTATTCTTGCATATGTATAGAATGTGTTTTCTTAACTAATATCTAGTATCAAAATTGGTATTGCATTAACACTGTTGGGAATTGTAAATTCTATCTACTTCTGCATCTAAAATATAAATCTGAAGAAATGTAATACCATTTAAGGGTAGTTAGAAGAAAAAGGAAGTTAAACTTCTGCAGTAGGAGTTTTGTTTTCTTTGTATATCACATATATATAAAACAGTGTTATCCATTATTATAGTTTATTACAAAACTTATCTGCATCTAAGTCTAATACAAGCCCCCCCCCCTCAGTTGTGAAAGGGTTAAGTTAGTGAAATTTTTAATATATTAATAATGTATATGTAGATTTGTAGTACATTTCATAACATAAATTTTTTTCATAGCATTTGTGATGTAAAAATTATTTGCTATGAGGAGTTTTTTTTTTGTTTTCTGTTTTGATGTTTACTTGCTATGTTTGTAAAATATGTTTATTCAACTTTAGGTATGAATTATGTACCACATAATTACTTCAGAGATTGAAGTACAATTCAGTAAAGAATATGGTGAAGTGTATGTTTCACAAAACTGTTGGTTGTTTTATGGTAGATCAGCTGGAGGCACCAGTTTAAAAGTCACTTGCTCTTAGTAGAAGTTTTTTGAAAGAAAGTAAAGAATAAAAAGAGTGAGAGTTCCACCATTCTAACACAATGTTCATTGAAGTTTAGCTGTATTTTTTTTATAATTCTTCAATGTTCTGACTGTTTTTATTTCTTTTTTAATGAACTCTTATAGTAAACGTTATTTTTAGCAAGGTGTGTAATAATGCTTGAATTGTAGAACTAGAAAATGTACAAAAACAAAAATTTCAGTAAACTAAAATGTTTTTTTTTTTAAATTAAAACACAGCAGTTGTATTAAATTTAATGAAAGAGTAAAATAAAAATACAAAAGCTTTTCCGTACTGGTGATGTAGCAAGAAAGTGAAACTATGATCTCAAAATACACAGAAGTACTGCTGTTATGCCTTCTTTTGATGTTGAATTTAACATAATTGTTACAGTTCCCTATAACCAAATGAGTGATTTTATATTATGTTTAATTAACATTCTTGTTTGTTCACTATGCTGACATCTTTTTACAATTATTTACAAGCCATTAAACCTTATAACAAACACAAGGTACTGTGTTAACAAAATTGCATTATGTGAGTTTATGTACATTTCTGTTCAAGCATTTCACACACCACATTTTTTTACACACTCACATATGATAGTCTAATATTGGTGCAAATTGTTTTTCTGTTATGCATTTATGGTACATATGGACC